AGTGAGATTGTCTCATACACTGGTTTGCAGATGCCATGGTCCGTATTTTACAGGTTGCAATGAAGTCAAGCAGATGACGGGGACTATTTGATGGCTCATCACATAAGAGCATCAAAAGGCAAACTCCAAAGTAAATATCAAGGATTGCTTGAGGAAATTAATAAGTATGCATAAAAGCTATGTGAACAGCCTCTCAGGGCTTAGTAAAGCTGACATGAATAATATTTCTTAAATGCTGACATTATAAAAATTTACACTACAGTAAAATGAAATTATAAATAATCATGCAACTGCACTTTTGTATATCAAACTCCAACTTTAAGGCACTACTCAGAACAGCTAATAATATCTTAAACCACACTAAGAAATACTGGTAGGCCTTGGCCAGTGTTGCTCAGTGGTTAGAGTGTTGGCCCTCTAACTCATGGGTCTCACGTTCAATCCCTGGCCACTGTTTTTCTCTTTTTCTCTCCCCCTTCCTCCTTCCCTTCCACTCTCTCTAAAAATCAATGGGAAAAATATCCTTGGGTGAGGATTAACAGAACAAAAACAAACAAAGAAAATACTGGTAAATGCAGCCTTTGGCAAAATTTCATGAGTCTCATTCTCCAACAAACTGCTCTCAGAACGAGGATCCTTCCTCTTCTCACCCCCTCCACTTCATTCACAATTTATCCTGATTGATATATCTGTGCTGTGGAATATTTATCAGCTGTTAGAAACAATGAGTTAATTCTAAAAGTAAAGTTTTGAGGAGAAGTCCCATAATAATAAAATCTGACACTAAAAAAAAAATTTTTATATGCCTGATGGAAACATTTTATGTATATTAAGTTATTTACTCCTCAAAAAGTCTGCTTAACTTAATCAATTACTGGCCTGGTACATTGTGCCTTGTTGTGTTGTATTATATGCCCTTAAATCAATGCAGCAGATCCAAGCAACAGCAGCCTCCTGATCACCACACCCTCTGAGGATCAGCAGCTGTACGTGAAGCCTCCCCGCACCAGCCAGAAGAGCCACCAAAGCTGTGAACAGCACCCACCAGAGGAGCTGCTGCCAACTGAGGAGCAGCTGCTACCGCAACCGCCCGAGGAGCAACCACAGCCCAAGGAGCCACTGCCACCCAGGGAGCAGCCACTGAATGACTCAACGTCTAGATATGTCAGTCAGATCAAACATGGGTAGACAAAGAAACCCCCAAAGGAAAGAAAAGGAGGACTTGCCAGAAAAGCAGCTAAGTGATACAGAGGCATGCAACCTGACAGAAAAAGAATTCAAAATAAGGGTCCTAGGCGTGCATAAACCGGATGGAGGAAAAAATCAACGACGTATGCAAGAAGCAAGAAGAAACAGATGAAAAAATCAAAAACTTAAGTAAGACCCAAGAAGAAATGAAGAGTGATATAACTGCAATAAAAAAAACACCATTGTAAGTATCAACAGTAGACTAGGAGAAGCGGAGGACCGAATTAGTGAATTAGAAGACAAGGAAGCAAAACACACCCAAACTGTACTGCAATTGGAGAAAACTTAATCAATTACTGTAAGATAGTAATAATTTATACCAAAAACATAACCTTTCGAAGTAGAAACTACTATTTTAACCATTATCTATATATATAATATATATAAAAGGCTAATATGCTAAGTGTCCCTCTGGGTAATTACAATAATAATCTGCTTTGTGTTGATATTTACTGTTGTGTTGATGACAATTACCTGAAAGAGTAATTGCTTTACTGGGCTGGAAAAAGTTTAGCTAAATCATAAAGCAGGTCTAACTAAGTAAGTTTATTCCTATATCTACAAAAGGCTAAGTTGACTCACACATGCGCGATTCATATAAAGCTCTCACTGGTGCCAATCGCACGAGTGTGTTTCCATCTGTCATTGTCAATCATGAATTTGGTTGACACTTCCTTTATAGAGAAAGGGCGAATAGCAATTTTAAAATATTTCTTCTAATGAATTTTCTTTCAATGTGCATGAATTCATGTACCAGGCCACTAGTATACAGATTTTTTAAAAAATCAAAGAGAGTAACTCTTATTAACATAAGAATGTCCAAACCTGTAGAGAATTTTTATAAAAATTTATTGTTTGAGTTAAACAGAGGATATGCCTGGAAGTGAGCTCTCAATAGACAGAAAAATGTTTCCCTGAATAACAGTTTGTAGTTTCTGTGTGTATTTGAGATTAAGGAGGGAATGTAAAGGAGGATTACTCGAAAGTGGTGATCTGATTACAGGTTAAGAATATGTGCTCTCTTGAGGGTGGTCACAGTTTAGGAGAGCTCTGAAGAGTCATTTCAAAGGTGTGTTAACCTAGAAGCACGGAAGCCATGGACAGAACTTGATTAAGGCCAAGATAAACCTTTTACTAAAGCAGTTACATGCCTGGGGCAGGATTTTGGTTAACACCTGAATCCAACTGCCGGGTTAGGAATTTATGACCAGATCACCCTGTGCGGTGACTTTCCATAGAAAGCCGTTTTTCATCCACATTCACTTGCCCAAGGCCATACAACTCATGGTTGGAAAAGCTGGGATCTGGTTAAGGCCACGGTGCTCTTAGCTCCTGTGTAACATAGAGAAATGTGCTCAGTGTATGGCTGTTCTATATTTTTAAAGCTCTCATGAGTGAACATATACTGTTCTTCATATATGCTTGTATCAGCATATGGAACAGTATGGAAGGAGACATACCTGGGCATCTGCATTGGTTACTTTAGGAAACAGAAGCAGAGAAAGATGGGAGATTGGGGTAGACACTAAGTTATTGTTTGTATATAATTCTTTGATTTTTTTAAATGACAAGCTCATTATTTGGGGGGTTTATCACATGTTTATAACTTTTTAAAAATATGTTGTTACTTATTTTAGAGAGAGAGAAAGGGGGTGGTATAGAGAGATAGAAATATTGATGAGAGAGAAACAGATCAGCTGCATCCTGCACACCCCTTACTAAGGATCGAGCCCACAATTTGAGTGTGTGCCCTGACCAGGAATCCAAACAGTAACTTCTTTTTTTTTTAATATATTTTATTGAATTCTTACAGGAAGGGAGAGGGATAGAGAGTTAGAAACATCGATTAGCTGCCTCCTGCACACTCCCTACTGGGTATGTGCCTGCAACCAAGGTATATGCCCTTCACTGGAATTGAACCTGGGACCTTTGAGTCCGCAGGCCGATGCTCTATCCATTGAGCCAAACCAGTTAGGGCCAAAAAGTAACTTATCAACGCTCAACCACTGCGCAACACTGGCTGGGCTATATAACTTTTCTAAAGAAAGCAATTTTCAGATTCTTATGACAGGCAGTCAAGTGGGGCCTCAGCATCATGCCTGAGTCTCTAAAGTGTCCAACGGCCCAAGTTCTGGTGAAGTCTGAATCCAAAATAGAAAGTCACAGGTACCCTCCAGGATTTAGAGAGGGACAGATCTGAACTTTCCAAGGCTGAATGGAGAAACATTTGCATGTTTGCCTTTGTGTGTGTGTTGGGGGGCGGGGCGGGGGGGCGTGTTTGCATGTGTGTGTTGCTTAAAACGGTTTCCTAACATTCGGGCTTCAGCTTTGATCAGCTTGCTGTAACACATTTCCAGTTACAAGGCTGATGCAGTCAACATACAGACTACAAAATGATCTTTTGATTAACACCTGAATCCAACTCTAAGAATCTTTATTCCCAAAAGTAGTGAGCACTTATAAGTTCTCCGCAAAGAGAGATTTGAAGTAATCATTTCTAGAAAGATTATAATTCACCACAAACTATCTACTTGTCTTCTTTTATTAAATGGGTGTTCAAGGATGTTCAGGAACCTTCTGTTTAAAGGCTAAAATCTAATGGAGTGCTGAATCACAACACTGAAAATCAAATATGATTTTGAAGGACAGTTACAGTGTGTGTACATAACACACTTATCGACACAAGACACACAGTGGAATGGCTACACAGACAAACAAAGAAATGATAATAATAGCTCACATTTACCCAGGGCCTGCTATAGACCAATCACTGTGCTAAGCATTTTGCATGGATCTCTTCATGTAATCCTTATGATAAGTCTTTGAGAAGGTACCATTATGATTTCTATTTTGTAGATGAGGAAACTGAGGTCTAGAGAAGTTAAGTAACTTTTACCAAGTAATACAGACAATAAATTGTAGAGTCAGGATGTGTAGTTTGGGAGCCAGGATTTCAACCTCCTAACACCCTGCTTCCGTGGATCTATAAATGATTCAGAATGTCTACAGAGCTACTTTCAGATAAGGCATCTTCTCAAGATAGTGCAGTGCCTTAGAAACAGACTGAAGCCAAACTGCTTTAGTTCAGACCCCTGCCCTGCCACACAATCTCCATAACCTTGAGAAAATTACTCAACCTCTCTGGGCTTCATTTTCCTCATCTGTAAAATAAGAATAATGTTGATACCAACCTCACAAACTTGTAGGGAGGATTAAATAAATATGTGTGACATTAATATTACAGGAGATAATAGATGTAAACTAATTCCTGTGAAAACATTCCTGCACATAGTAAACTCCCAATGTTAGCTAACATTAGTTCAGTGGAGAGGAAGACACTCCCAGAAATATCTCAAAGTTCCCTTTACCAGGATTGTATTAAAGAATGTATCATCTAGCCCTAACCGGTTTGGCTCAGTGGATAGAGCGTCAGCCTGTGGACTGAAAGGTCCCAGGTTCGATTTGGTAAGGGCATGTACCTTGGTTGCAGGCACATCCCCAGTAGGAGGTGTGCAGGAGGCAGCTGATCAATATTTCTCTCTCATTGATGTTTCTAACTCTCTATCCTTCTCCCTTCCTCTCTGTAAAAAAAAAAAAATCAATAAAACATTAAAAAAAGAATATCATATTAATTAAAAAAAATGTATCATCTAGTTTCCATGTCAATGCTAAGTAAGTATTTAAGGACAAGCCAACCCTAAAATTTGGCGAGATTCAGACCTTTGTCTGCAAAGCTTTATGACATGACTTACTTGAAGAATCTGGACTCAGTTGGGAGGATGACTTCTCCAAGGACTCAGATTCTTTTTGCTCCATCTTCTCAGTGGTTGAACCCAACTCTTCTTTCTTTATTTCTCTTTGTTCATTCTGTTCCTCATTTTCAATCTTGTTGGTATGAGTCTGGTCAGGTTCTTCCAGCATTCGATCTTTTTTACCTCTGACAGCCCAGTGCATTGACTACATTAATTAAGAGCAGACATATAATATAAAATCAATATATATAGCTTTCTGTATTTAAAGTTTAATGTGTGGTGACACCTGACTTACTATTTTAATGCTAATTTCAGAATGTTAAACTTGACTAATAACCAGATATTAATCCAGATATTAATTAATTAATCTTCCCTGGTTTGGAAGACTAATGATATAAGAAGACATCTATATTATGGTACAGAACAAAGGGACAAACATCAGAGAGATTCAAAGAATTAGATGTTTCCTCAAAAAGTTAAACCTAGAATTACCACATGAACCCAGCAATTCCATTGACAGGTATATACCCAAAAGAACTGAAAACAGATGTTAAAAGAAAAACTTACACATGAATATTCATTCACAAAAGCCAAAGGTGGAAACAACCCAAATGTCCATCAACCAATGAATAGATAAATAAAAGGTGGTATATCCATATAATGGCATATTATTTGACCATGAAAAAGAAATGAAGTACTATAATGTGGATAAATCCTGGAAACATTATGCTAAATAAAGCCAGATACAAAAGCCACATATGTATATATGATTCCACTTACATGAAATATCCAGAATAGACAAATCCATATAGAAAGAAAGCAGAGTGGTGATTACCAGGAGCTGGGGGAGAGGAGGATAGGAAGTGATTGCTATGGAGTTTCCTTTTGGGGTGATGAAAAAGTCTGGAACTAGATAGTGATGATGGATGAACAACATTGTGAATGTACTTAATGCCACTGAATCTTACACTTTAAAATGGTTAAAATGGGCCCTGACAGGGTAGTTCAGTTGGTTAGAGCATTGTCCCCGTACGCCAAGATTGTGGGTTCAATCTCCATCAGGGCACATACAGGAATCAACCAATGAATGCATAAATGAGTGAAACAACAAATCAATCTCTCTGTCTCTCTCAAATCAATAAATAAAAATTTAAGAAAATAAAAAAATAATAAAATAAAATGGTTAAAATAATGAGTTTTATGTGTATTTTATCACCAAAAAACAATGAGGCTGTGTGTCTCAAGTTATGCCAGAGATTAAGCCTACTACTATTGTAATTATTGTAACTACTATTGTGACCTTCCATTAAGCTTGACCAATGCAGAGTTGGCATTAGAAGTCTGGCAATAAAAATATTAGAATTCTGGATTATACATCTTCTCTTTAAGAAAACATATGGCACGAAGCAGGAATTCAGTCAATATTTACTATGAAACATGTGTGCTAGCTTTAAGTGGATTCACTTTATGTGAACTTTTCCAAGTCCAGTTATCCTCAAATAACAAGAACTTTCTAAATATATTTCCTTCTTTTCTTTAAGGATAATGTGAATGTGTACATGTACACTATAGAGAAGGTTTCTGGAAGGAAACAAGAAACTGCGATGGTGGCTTTCTGGATGAATAGAACTGGGGTGTGAAATAAGGATGAACTGACTTTTATTACATATCCTATTGTACTGTATTGATTTTTTTAAAAAACAAAGGTGTGTTAGTTATATTTTTAATTTACAATTAAAAAAATCAGTGGTCATAAATCAACAGGGTTTGGTATTGCCCACTGATTTCTGGTATAACTTTTATATTTTTAGAAATATACACGTTCCAGAGAAACCAAGATGGTGGCATAGGTAAACACTGGAAATTGCTGCCTCGAACAACCACTTCAAAAATACAACTAAAAGACAGAACACACATCATCCAGAACCACAGGAAGGCTGGCTGAGTGGAAATTCTACAACTAGAAGGAAAGAGAAAAGCACACGGAGACTCAAAGGAGGTGTGGAAGCAAAGTGCAGAAGTACGGAGGGCTGGCAACTGTGGATGCCGTTGTCTTTTCCAGCCAGGAGGGAGTCTCAAGCTCCGACCGCTCTGAACTCCAGTTCCAGGCGAGTCTCTGGGGGCCCAGACTCATACGGGAGAAACTGGACTGTCTGGCATTGGTCTGAACTCGAGAGTGGCTTTCTCTCAGAAGTGCTTGCAGCAATTACCAGGACACTGAGACTCGTGGCCCCTTAGGGCAGGGCTGAGGATCAGCCATAGCTGTTCGCTCCGCCCTGTTGATCCTCTGAGACCCTGCCCCACCCAAGCTGTGCGCAGAGGCTTTTGCATATGAAAGGCATGGCCCTTTGCAATCTGAAAATTACCTAACAAACTGCAGCTGGGTCAGAGAGACCCAGAACTTCCAAGAGGAGGCCCAAGGCCCCACAGAAGCTTGCATTGTTTCACAGCTGGGCCTCATCAGGGCACCTCCAAACTCCAAAAAAGGAAGGGGAATCTGCAGTTCT